TAGGACACAGAGCTTCTGTTCTCTGCACTTTGTAGCTCTCTTATCCCTCATCTACTTTGGAAGCTCCTGGGCCCCTTTCCCACTTCATTTGTATCAGTGACTGACACAGAGTGTGAAAACACAAGACATTTTCTGTGGTTTTGTGGATAAAGGACAGATTTTGCTGAAACACCACCCAGGCTGTGATTCTTCCCTCCACTCCTGTCCTGTGGAGAGACACAGACAGATGCTGCAGTGTAAGTTTAAAATCAGGTTGGAGGTTGGAAGACTTACAAGTGGAGAAAGAGAACGCTCAGGATACCCTCAGTGTATATGGATGTGTCCAGGTCATGAAGGGCTGGTATAGGTGCACTAGGGAGAGTGGCCGGCAGAGAGGCCACCTCCCAGTGCTCTGTGGGTTTACAGACAGGAGGTTGGGGCTGGCTAGGTTTCTCTTAACAAGGACAGCACCTTGGGAGAGTTTCTGTGTTGGAACAAGGAACATCATTGGTCCACCTGAGTGTCAGGGTTTTCTCCCCTTGATCTAACTCAAGACTGCTTGATTCTAAGCTACCAAGTGGGAGGGAGGGGGCACTGGGGTTAAGTGTCCAGGGACACAGGTTTTGTCTCTCCTCAACTCCTTCCTGTGACTCTCAGCAACGCCTTTAGCCCAAAAGCCTTTATTTTCTTCCTTTAAACCATGGATCCGAGGGCAGGAAACTCACTATGTTGTGGGGAGGATAAAATTCACCAACAGGAGTCCCATGTGTGGCAGACTGTTGGACTGGGACTCAGTGGAACACAAGCGACAGTGAAGCCTCATTCCCCGCCGTGCCCACACCACTCTGTGAACTATTCCATTTTGCCTCTGAGTGAAATTTTATAGGGTAGGACCCATCCTTTGTCTGTCACTCTTAAATGACAATCATTCCACTTCTCACACTCGTTCCCAAGAAGACTCATTTTGTTCATCATGATGTGTAGCCCAGTAAGTGCACAACTTAAACAACTTCCTAAACTGGTTAATTTAGCTCCCCTGCTCAACCCAGTTATAGGAG